CCGTGATGAAAAACGGGGTAAAGTCTGAAGTGACACATTTGACATAAAGTAAAAGACACACGAATAGCAGCGATACAGTTATTATTAAGAGGCAGAGATGGGACACCTCAGTTCCATTGAAACCATGTAAAATTTAGTCTGCATTGGAGTCAAAACACCATAGCAGGTACAGGATATAATATTTAAATATTAGTAAATTTATATATATATACCCCGTATTGTGATTTCTAGCTCTCGTGAAGAAATTATATTTGAATATCACGCAACAAGTAAAATAACCAGAATTTGAACTAGTTCAGACTTAAATTGAGAATTCGAACTGTGGAATGTTCACTTTTAGAATGTTTTGTAAACTGAACTTGAACTAGTTCAGAAGCTAGTGACCTGGCCCAACATGCCAAAGCATTTACTGTCATTGGGCCAGAGCAAAATTAAACACATGTGACGTCCAGTCGGCTACACAGCCAGGCCTGCCTAGCAGTGCACGCCAGTGTAGTTCCCCGGTTAGAAATGAGTGGTCTACCAATGATGGTTAAAAGTTTTAATTTTTCCTTATTATATGAGCTGTAACGATGTGATTATACTTACTATTTTTTATCAATAATTGATAAGCTTGTAATAGTTCTCCATAATGAACATTGTTCCTTGCTGTGAGTGAGTGAGTGTGTGACTTTAATCTCACCAAAACTCATAAGTTACGTTGACTAAGCAACGGACAACCAAACCTTAACGACCGAGATTAATTAAACAGTTCAATATAAAAAAAAACTAAAGAACCAAAAGGTTTTGACGGTCAATTTAAATATATTTAAAAGAACATCAAAAATACAATGACAAAAACCAAATTTAGAACCTTGTATGGCCTCTGAATGGATGAAAAGCACCCGGCCTGAATGTATGTCCCACTCGGGCCTGTCTTCCATTGTTACAATGTCTGTGTGGCTTTGTCATAAAAACAAGCGGTTGGTTGCCTTCAAACATCATCTTATGGGCAGAGCAAAAATTTTTTGTCTATCTTTTTGGATGATAGAACGCCTACTCAGTTATGTTGCGAGAGAGTCATTACCTTGATTTCCGTATGGCCGGCGCGCTCTTCACTAGTTTTTCATACGCCTGCTTCAAAGCCTGCGAGGCAACCTTGGTAGGTTCTCCCGCCAACGACTGTACCTGAAATAGTAAAGAGAAACAGCCTCGTATAAAGCCAATCCGAGAGAGGGATCTGGTATAAGCAGAGAGAAATAAAATACTTCCATTTAACTATTCATTCACAGGACTAAGCGAGGCGATTAGCAATTTACAGTTTCGATAAATTTTTACTGCTTTATTTGTTACCCGCTAAAATCCCAGGCTTCCAGAACTCAATAATAACTCGCACAAATTGATAAGAATTCTTATACCCAAAAAATAAGTACCATGGCAGGGATTCCACATGTGGAAAGGCCTCCGTGTAAATGCAAAAACAGACCTGAATAATGGAAGATGGAGCTATAAGCTATAAAAAACACTAAAACATAAAAAAAGAAACTAAAATAAAATGACTTTGCATTGTGAGCATTTCTTTCCCGATTCATAGAAATAAACAAATAATTTCCATAGCCGGTAGTCTTTTGATCATGAAGGACTGTGAAATAAAATATATGCCTCAGCCTTTGACAATTTACCAACAATGTGAAAAACACTCCGTGTTTAAGTCCTTGTTGTTGCACATTGCAGGACAAGTGAGAACTACCTCTTGTTGGTTGTGGAAAAATGGTTTAGTGTGCACAACTTCTTGGCACGCTACTCACTGTACCTCTGAGGAGCAAGACATTTCAGCCAAACGTGACTAACACAGAAATGACACTGCACAGATCAATCCACATGCTTTTGGCATCACGGCATCAGCAGGCTGTAAAGAGAATGGAGGTGTGAATTTAAAATACTGTTTATCTTCCCTTAACCCCCCGTGTAGATGCTAAATAGCAGTAAAACAAAAGTTTTTTGAATCCCTGACCTTCTACCAAGTACTTTAGTGAACAAGAGCACAACAGAGATGCAAACTACAAAATTTGGCAAATGGGTCTTAAAATTGAGAACTTAATTTCTATGAAATGCGACAAAGCAACCGATTCATAAAATCCGCGAAATGTCTTTGACCATCGGCCAATATGTTTTACTACTGCAGCAGGACGTTATTACTTCTATCTCTAAAATAAAATTGTGTTGTACAGTAATTGTAATATAAATTGTTGCATTGGTCCCGTAAACTAACTATGATCTTTGTTGATCAATGTTCTCTTAAACATAGATGATAGTGAAAATCTTACTCCTGAAACCATTCGGAAAAAACGGTTCTCACATCGTACGCCACAAAAGACATCCCCAATACTGCACATTCTGCGACTGAAATCCCCGCGACCTTAAAACCTATGTCTAAAAACCTTACCAAATGGCATAACAACTTCGCTGCACAGGATCTGTTAGAGCACCATTGATTGGGTTTATCAACTCACCATCTTACATAGCTTGTAGTGTACTATCCCCTTACTGCCTTTGACCTCCAATTCAATCCACATCCCCCGATCCCCAAAAATGCCAAAATCTCGATCCACATGCCTGATCCCATTCCCAAGAACCATTATCCACAAATAATAGTCCCAAAACGTCTCATCACATCAGCCCCTACAATCACTAACGTAATATTCAATCCAATACCGGCACCATAGCATATATTGCCAGTCACTACAGCAATTACAACACAAATACTCGTTAACATCTAGAGTACTTTAACTCGCATTTGGAAATTAACTTGCATCCTACATTATACTAATCACTCCCCTCCGTCCCATCAAATTCTAACCACATCGACCATGAACGATTGATGGCAATATTAACGAGAATCATAGAACATCGGGTTATTCATATGTCTTGAGCTGACTTTACCTCATAAGAAAACACCACACCCCAACCGAAGATCCACCATACATATTAGCATACTGTAGCACTAACCAAACCATCAACACGATATAACACCCACTTAAATATTACTCTAAATCAACCCCCAACCAATTACAAAAAGATACATCAAATTCTGAATCTGTCAATCAAACCCAAACAAAATAATGTCTTAGAAAAATACCTTATATTTCCAACTTTCCCATCCCACAAACCATAACCTACAAACCACACATTTTATCTAACATGACCCCCACCAAACAACATAATAAGAAAATCGACTCCGATCCGATTACGCCAACACTATCCAAATCACAGTGTATACTAAGTCAAATCAACCTACCCTGTCACAGAATCTATATCTTGTAAGCCCAATGTTGTTACTGATGACATCGATTAGTACTATCCCACTATCAACTGTCATTAACTTACCCAATTCAAGTCCCTTGCCCTCTGCTCAGTGCATTAATCCACCAACACCTGCTATAAACACTTCACAAAACCAAACAACTCTTGCAATAAACATTTCCTTAACCATCAAAAAACAAAGCATGAATTATGCATTTAAGGACGCACCAACAAGCTCTACAAGATCATTGAACATTCACACCAACCAACGTTTGTAAAGAACTGACCTGTCGAAGATGCATGTGCACCGACCTAAGGATTCAACCCGTTCCTGAATCAGCCCTCCTGCCACCACAACACACACCAGACTCCTTATAAATGGGGAGAATAGTTACTTGCAAAGGGACACCCCGAAGTTTAGCACTATACGCCGCAGACGCCCCCACAGTGCCACCTGGTGATCAGAGGTCATACCATACGGTACTCACATGCCTGTCCTGCATTCATCCTGTGTAGTCACAGGTATATAATGCCTGACCAGGCCCCACACAAGACATTAGCATTAACGATACGATTACTAAAACCATCCCATTACCACAAAACCCCTAATTTTTAGAGTCAAAACCCTTCACGCCCACTCATAGATCTTACTCGTTACACCCCCAAACCTCTAGTCTCCAATTATTGTTGTAACACCCACCCATCCCGCAAGCATCACATATAGATATAGATTAAACCTTGCACAAAGTTGCCTCAGCCATTATACAGATATATCAACATGCATCCTCCCAATCTTAAAAAACCATCAAACATTTCCTAATCGATAAATGGCACAAAAATCTTTAAACTATACCTCAAAAAAATTTAGTTGCCACAAGAACTGTTCAGGCTGTTCAAATACAAAGAGAAGGAGAAGTGAAGGATGGGCCAGAGAAAAACCAATTTGTATGGACCCCTAACTTAGTTTATTGGTCAAAGGTATGGTAAAGCCACAAGAAGTTAGAAACCATCATCTCATTTGGGGATTGACTATTCCATATGCTACTAAAACCAATTAAACGTATGATCTAGCCAATCGATCTGGGGATCATCAACAAAATCTGCGCCTTACTAACCTCAGAACTATATTATCTTCTATACCAATCTCCAAAAAAACACCATCCCCATCTCCCCCCTCCCAAAAACACCCCATAAATCCTGTCAAGATTACCTAGTCCAAACTTTTCAAATACTCATACTACCAAAATACAAAAACATTACCCCCTCAAACCCCCACTCCATACTTCTAACATGACAAACAAAAATTTCATTTATTTCCTTGTCTCATATCTTTTACACATTAATATTTAAAGTTGTAACCTCATACCATATATCCAAATTCAATACTCCCTTTCAACACCATCTATCACCCGACATTATACATATTAAAACTACATTCTTATAACCAACACCCATACTAACACAAAACCCCAACAATCTATTATCCCTCCTCCCCCCCTCATCCAATTTTTCTTCCCCTTTCAACATTACCCCCTTCCTTACATCCTTATTATCATAATAAAATCACTCCTCCCCTCCCTTCCCTTATCTAACTCCACTTCCCCACCCTCAACCCCTAACACTTCAACTACCAACCCCACACTATACTCTCCCCTTCCCTAAAATCTATAATCCCCCCCCCCACCCACCCAACACACACATCCCACACTACTCCCCAACTACATCCCCCCCAACAAACCTCCCCCACCACCATCTCCTATAAAATTATTCCACCAATCCCCCACTTCCACCACACCAACCACCACCCCCCATCCATCTTCCCAACCCTCAAACATCACAACCCACCATTCCCATACCCAAACCCCCATCACCAACCCACCCCCTACCCCCATTAAAAACTAATCATCTAAACCAAATCCTATCTAAACACCTAACCACACCTTAATACAATCTAACTCCTATTCACAACCCCCTCCTCCCCCCCCACCCCCCCCCCAACTCCCCCCCTCAATCTCAAACCCCAAACTTCCAACCCCACCATATCCAATATCAAAAAACACCCCCTACCCCCTCCCCCACTCCTCTCATCCCAAAAAATACACCAAATTACTAGCCTCCATAACCATCATTCCTTACAAACATCCCACTAATCAACCCAACCCACCCCAACACCTCATAAAACACCCCTAATATAAACATAAACCCAAACATTCCCCCCACTCCCTCTTACCCCTTATTGCCTTAATACATTAACATCCATTATACAATATCCTCCCACCTAACCACACACCACCCATTAACTAATACATAAACAACATTCTTATCATCTATCCACCACACACCCTCTCATCTTTAACTAAATTCCTCTCCTCAATCAACATTCCCACCTACAAACACTCCCCTCACACTTCCAATATCACCCACTCTCATCCTTCAATAACACCATCCTCATCCCTCCCAACTCACCCTACCATCCCATTAAACACCTCTCCATCCTTCCACCCCACCCCCCCCCCAACACTCTTACCCCAGACAACAACTCCACCCCCCCATCCAAAACCATACCCACCCAATAACAACTTTTACAAATACCAAACATCACCTTCTTCCTATCCTCCATAAAAATAATCCCTCCCAACCTAATAAATTCACAAAACCCCAACAAAACTATCTACTACCATACACAAACACACTATCCAAAACCATTCCCCTTACCTCCCCCTCCCAAACCCCCATAACCTCTCCTCACAATAACCCCACCAACCCCCATTATCATCCTCCTTTACCCCTCCCCCCATTCCCCCCCCCCTCACACCCCACCCAACCAACACAACCCCAACCTCACAATATCCATAAAAACTCTTACTTTTCATTCTCCCCCTCTTCCCACCTTCTCTTTTTCTAATCTTCTCCCATCCCCCACCCCACCTCCTTCGCGATACCATCCATTCAACCACCCCTTCCCAACCTAATCTCTCCTCCTCTATCACCCCCCCACTCCCCCCTATCCTAACAACTCCCACCCTATCAAAATATCCCCATCCACCCCCATACACTCCATATACCAAAATTTTAAACTTTTAACCCATCACCCACTAAATCCCATTCTCCCCTCACCCAACCCCTTCACTCCACCACCTACCACAAAACACCCACCCACACCAAACCAATACAAATAAAATACAAAAATAATAACACACAACAAAACCCACCACCACCTATTAATAATAATCTCTCTCATCCCACCCTCCCTTCCCCCCCCCCCCTCCCCATTCCCCCTACTCAAACTAACAACCCCCTCTTTTTTTCCATCATCATACTCCTATTATCCCTATAACTCCAATTCTACCATTACACTCAATCCTCTTACTACTACCCCCCCCATATCCCCCCTAACTCCCCCCAACAACCAAACCCCCCACCACTCACAACCACCATTTTATTCATCTCTAACTCAATTAACCACCTCCTCCTAATTTAAATCCACTTACTCCCCTTTAACATCTATTCTCAATCATAACATATACATCTACTTAAACCAATTATCACTTAAACCACCCCCCCCACCCCCATCCCCACTTACATCCATACCCATTCTCTATCCATTCATTATAATTCTCCATCATTACCTATAATAACATTCACCTAACTACCACCCCCCTATCTATTCCTTCAATTCCCCACACATCATCATCCCCAATACCCTTCAAATTTTCATACCCAATTAATACCCCTATCCACAAACCACCCCCCAACCAACCACCACCACTCCATACCACTCTCACCCCCCCCTCCCAATAACCCCCCCTCTCTTACAACCCCAAACATCAACCCACCCTCCCTCCACCCCTTCTACCAACATAACACATACCCTTAATTTAATAAACACACATCCCATATCCTCACAAAATAAATCTAATATCAATCCCTATCCTTCTTCTTATTCCTCACCATTTCCTTCCTAACTTCTTATTTCATCTACTTCTCCTCACTTCCTCTCTTCTTCACCCTCTTCCTCTCTTATACATATCCCCTCTTACATTCAATACACCTCATCACATACCCCTCTCTTCCCCCCACCACATCATATCTACTCTACTCCTCCCTACCCCTCCATCCACCCCTCCCCCCTCCCCCAAAACTACAAACATCCCATTCATACTTCCTTCCACCCCTATCAACCCCCACTCCCCATCCCATTCCCATTCAACACAAAACAACCCAAACTCTCTACCCCCCCCTTAATCTACCCCCCTAAAACAATCTTAAACTATCCACCCACTTATCACCCCTACCCCCATCCCCAACATCTCCAACCCCCATTCAACACCCTCAATCAACTTCAACATCAATACATATACTCCACCCTCCCCCCCTACCATTAATAAAACTCTCCCTACTCCCTCTACCCATCAATTACATTCCCTAAAATATACCAATAATACTAATAATAACTCAAACTTCCTCCAAAATCTACCACCACCACCCCCATCTACTTCCCCTTCTCCCTCACCCAACCCAACCCTCACTCTCCCACCCCCCCAATAAAACAAAAATACATACCATCAACATAAAACCCACTCAAAAAACAAACCACTACCCCACCCCATACAACACCACATAAAAACAACATCCAATTACATATCATAACCTCTATTTCTTCTTCCCCCCCCCCCAACAACAACATCTACTACTACCACTTAATAAAAAAAAAAACTTCTCACCAACAATACATCCACTACAAACACAACCCTATAATAACTAAAAAAAATCCCTCCAACCCTCCAACCTAACACCCCCTCAACAAATACAAACTCTCCACCACACTCCATTCTACCTTTAATCTTAATCACAAACCACCCACCCTCATACCTCATATACAAATCATCTCTCCCCCCCCTCCCCACCCCCCACTACCTATCTATTTTCACCTCCAACCCAAAACCACCCATAACCTTAATACTTATACCCCCACCCTCATAAAACCCCAACCCACCATACACCCACCCCCTCACCACCACCCCCATACCACCTCAACCACAACATACAATCTCACACAATAATACCCTCCCATAACCCACCAAAATCTATACATCCCCATCCCCACCCATCCCATCCCCCCCACCCTCCCTTCCCCCTAATTCCATTATAAATATACAACCAAATCAACTCCCCCCCATATTCAACTAACCCCACACAACCCCCCCCCAACATATCCCTCCCATACCACAACAATCCTCACCCCTCCTCAAACATCTCACCACAACACCCATAAAACACTCACCCTACCACTCCCACCCCCCTTTCTCAACAATACACCCCCCCTACTCAAATTCCAACCCCACCCCACACCCACCTCCCTTACATAAAAACCCACCCCCAATTCAAACCCTACTACCAACCCAACACCCAATTACCAAAAGCCCCTCATCCCCTAACAATTCCCACCCACCCCCCCCAACCACCCCTCAAAAATATCAACCACTTCCACTATCCACATAACAATCATAATCCCTTCCTATTTCTTCCTTATAATCTCCACATACCATTCCTTCATCCCAAAATCCTTCACCCCCCCCCCACCAACAAATCTAAACATAAAATAAACCCCACAACCCCATAAACTAAAAACCCCTAACCCCTCTCCCATCTCTTTTATCATTCCCATACCCCCCCCATCATCTCCTAATCCCATAACTCACTTCCCAACTATCCCATCAACCAAATATCACATCATATCCCCCTCACTACCATCCTCACCTCCTTCCCTTTCATTAACTACATATTATTACTCCAACTTCCCCCTTATTTCCCCTATTTTTTTATTTATTACCCATCACCCATATAATATCCAACTTCCCCTCCACCCCCAACTCCATCTACTTATACTATAAATATTAATTATTCTTTTTCTCCACACCAATTATCCACTCAACATATTATATCTTTCAATATTCCCAACAACTAACACCCCCCTATAAATTCTATCCCTCCCCAACCATCTCTTCAAAAATCTCTTACCCCCTCCCCCCCCATCAACACCAATTCATAACTTTCCCCCACATCACCAATCCCCATCAAAATAAATAACATCTAATTAAACAACTTATCATTCATCACACTTCATCACTCTCCTTATACAATCTATACCCCTCACCCCTAATCTCTACCTCTAACAAACCCAACTACCCTACCATACCTCCCCACCCTCACTAACTAACTACCCTCCCACCAAACCACCTTCCCCCTCACAATCCACCACCCTACAATTCTTCCACCCCCAACCCCTACACCATCCTTAACCAACCCACCCCTCTCCCATACCAACCTACAAACATCTTTCTTTATACTACAAAACCATACCCCCCCACCCCCCACAAACTATCCATTCATCCCTCCCCCACCCAACCAAACCCCACACCCTCCATATTCCATAAACATATCCAACACACCCCACTTATTTATCTTACTCATCTAATAATCCTATCCTCCCACCCTCAACATATCATCTAATTTAATTATATATATCAACCAAACCAACTATTCCCAAACTCCCCCTCACCCCTACCTCCACACAAACACAACCCCTAACCCCCCCCATCCACCACAAACATTTTCTCAAATCCCCACCTAAATTCCCATCCTCTTCTACCCTACCCCCCCTCCTTTCCCCTACAAACCCCATATCTCTACCTACCCCCTCATCACAAAACCCAATATTAAAATAAAAATTCACCCATCCTATATCATTCCAATCAACAACCTCCTCTTAAACTATTATCAATTATCTATCCCTCTCAAACACTACCCCCACCCCTCTTTCCCAATCCAAATACCTTCACATACCAATTTCTATCTCCCCCCATCCCCTCATATAAATCATTTTCTCTACCTCTCCCCTTTCTTACCCCATCTATATATCCACAACCCAATCACAACTTCCCTTCTCTCTTCATCCCCTATCCATTTCACCACTTTTCATATCTTCATACCCACAACCCAATCAAATAACTTTTCCCCCATATTCCACTTAAACAACCTTCATTTTCAAACATCATCCAAAACACCCTTATATTCTTCACCCCTATTACTCCCCACATCTCCCCTAAAACACTACTATTAAACCTTCTACCCTCAAAACCCACACCAACATAACACACATCCCCCATCCCCCCTTCACCCCATACTCACATACCAACCCCCTTCCTCCAACCCACCATACCCCCCCACCACACACTCTACACTTCCACCACAACCAAATCCCTACAACCCCCCTCAAATTCATTTCCCCTCCAAATACAACAAAACATTCATCCACATCAATAAACACAAACCTCCCCCAAAATACACCCAAACCTTCCAAAATCCCCCCATAATAAAAACCACCCAAAAAACCCATACCTCACCAACCCCTATCCAAACACTTCCCTCCAAACACCCCCCATCACCACTCCCCACCATCAAAAACCTCCTAACCACACCCTACCCTAAACAACCCACCCCACCACATTACCCTATCTTCCTATCCTCCCTACCTCCATATATCTATAAACATCTCCTATACCAAATCTATCAACCCATAATTTCATTCCATACCTACACTCTTTCCATATCTCATCTTATCCCTCTACTAATATCCCCAACCACCAAAAAACCCCCCCCCCTCTTATCTAACACAATACCATCCCTTATCCCCCCTTTCCAAACCCATCTATAAACCCATAATCATACCAAATACCCTTCATCTCCTACACAATAAAAACCCTTAACATCACCCCTCTATACCTTCACATTCCCACCAAACCATCCCTTTACCTCCCTCTCACCCCATCCCGACCAAAACCAACTAATAACAAACATAAAACTATAAAAACTCTTACACACCCCAAACCACCACTTATAACAATTCCCTTTACCCCTTTCCCAAACAATATTCCACCTCATACACCCCCATAAATTCCACTCAACAACATCCCATATCAAAAACAACAAAAAACCTTCTAAATCCCACATAATCGCCCCAATACCCTCCTACCCCAACACTCCCCATCCCAATTCACCTATTCACTAATCTCCAATTCAACAAAGCCCCATTCCAACAAACAAACACACTACCCCCACCTAATACCACAACATCCAGTCCACCTCTTCCTAAAAACAAAATCACCACTAATCCCTACTAATTATTTCTTCCACCCCCCTTAAAAACTCTTAAAACCTCTCCTACCTCTCCAACAATCTCTTATCTCTTCCCCTTCAACCTTACCATCTGTCAACATCCCCACTTTACATATTATTCAAAAAACACCCCCCCTCACTCACCCTCCCAAAATCAAATCCCACCTCATCATTTCTTCACTCAATTCATACATCCCCCTCCCTACAATCCCCCTATTCTCCCCTTTCCTTCTATTTCCCCCAAACCTTTTCTAAAACACCAACTTCCCCCCCTTAACACCAAATTAAGTAAATACCATAAAAAATCTTAACTAAAACAATAATACACTAAATCCTACCCACCTAAATAAAACAAACAAGAAAAAAAACACTATCATAATCACAACAACTTACTAAATCCTTCAATAATAATAATCAAATCCTACTTAACATTTAAATATCTAACCCTCCCCACACCCCCCCCCCCCCCAATCACACCTATTACCATTTAAACACACACCCGCTCCACCCAAACACCCCCTACTACCTACCCCACCACTCCCTCACACACCCTTCCCCACCCACCTATACATCCCCCCCTAATTCTTCCCACAACCCTTTTACCTCACCATTTATATCCAATCAACTTATATAACATCTATATCCTACACATAAACAAAATCATTCCCCCATCCTACCCTAAATTTAAATATTCCTAACCCCTAAAAATCCCACTACCTAACTAAATCACCATCACCCCTTTTCCCCTAACCTAATCCTAAACCCCAAAACCCAAATCCCACTAACCCCAAACTACAAACCCAAAAATTCTCACAACCCCACCCACAAACAAAAACACTCTCACTCCCCCCACTTTAACACACACAACCAACACACACCAACATCACAACCCACCAAACCCATCCCTTCATAAACTCCACCCCATCTTTCCCTCAAACATTTAAACCATTTCATCTAATACCACACTACACCTACCCCTACCATTCATCTCTTATACACAACACATACCCCCTATACCATCCAACCATAAAAAACATTCCCATATTACCCCCCCATCCACTCTCCATCACACTCTCCTATCCCTACCATCTCTTTTATCTAACCCCCTCTTATTCCCCCCTACTTCCCAAAAATAAAACTTCTTCCCCCTATATCTCACCCTTCTTTCTTCCAAAAACTAATCTAAACCCCCTCTCCCCTCAAACCCACTAAACCCATTCCCCCCCCAATACATTAACCCTCCCCCCCACCACATCCCCAACCCAACCCTAAAACAACCCCCCATATATTAACTACCCCTACCCTCCCCCATTTTATAACCATCCCTCTAACAAAATCCCAATAACTCCCCCCCATTAAATTATTTCATCACCCATTCCCCTTCCCCCTTCTTTACTTCTTATCCCCCTCCTAGTCTTCATCCCAACCCACAACCCCTCCCCCCCCCCCCCCCCCCTTTATCTCACTTTCCTTCCTTCCCCCAATCCTCTTCCACTTTCTCAAACTCATCACTCAATCCCTATTTCATTCATTCTCCCTTCACATCCACATCCCCCTACAACAATACACAAACCCTACACCACTTCCCCATCAACCAACTTCATCTTACCTCACCCTAATTCACATTATCAACTTCAATCCTTCACATACCTTTCTACCCCTTCCCCCTAAATTCATTTCCTCATCCTCTTCCCCATACCTCCCAACTCCTTCCCCTTCCATTAATCCCTCTAAACTCATCACCTTCCTCCCCATACTAACCTTCCCTCTACTATTTCTATTCCAATCCCCCCTCCCCCCCCACCCCCCTCCCCTCTAATCCCCAAACACCCCCCAACCGCACTTCCTCCCCTCATCCCTCCTTCCCCCCCACCAAATCCAAACCCCTCCTCATATCCCCATTCCCCATCCCCCACTCAACCCTATTATATCTAAATCATTCCCCTACTTCTCCCACACATTATTCTCTAATATTCCCCTAATCAAACTTATCCCCCCTCCCCAATAAAAAACATCTCAAACCCCCATACCTATATTCCTATTATCTTACCAATCTCCCCCCAAAAAACCCCCCACCCCCCCTCCTATACAATAAATAAACCCACAATTAAAACCACCATATCACCCATTCCTTCCCACACCCCCCCCCCACACAACCTAACTCCTATCACCTAATTACTTTAAATACAATACCCAACATCCACTATCAATATCCTATACAAATCTTTACCCCCCTCTCAACACCCCCCATCCCACAAAAACAACAACATCTCATCTAATACAACCAACCCTATTCCACTAACCATCCCATAAAACAACCTACATAACACTATCAAAAACCCTTAATCAATATAATCATAACAAAAAAAAACCCCCAACCAACCAAACCCCCCCACCTTAATCCCATTCACACCCCCCTAAACTATAATAACCCACCCCCCTACCAATCCTCATCACAAACATCTCCTATATTTACTACAACCCATACCTCCCCCACAATCCCAACCCTTTTCCCCCTAACCCCTCCACCCACCCCCCCACCATCCTTTAAACCTATTCCAACTCCCCCCCACCCCCACCCTAACCACCCTCTCCTACCAAACCCCCTCTTCATTATCCCATCCTTTAAACCCCTCCCCAACCTTCTATTCCCTCCCATTCCTAATCCAAATCTCCCTCCTCTCTTCTTCATTCTCCCAATTCTTATTCTTATACTTTTTCATACTCCTTCCTACACCCAAATCCACTTCTTTTCCCCCTATTATAAATGTATCTGCAGTTGAATGAATGCTGTTGATTACCAACAATATGGCCTGCTCCACAGACACCATCCCGTGCCTGCTGTCCCCCTGGTCGGAGTGGAGTGACTGCAGTGTGACTTGTGGAAAGGGCCAAAGGACTCGGCAGCGCACGCTTAAGTCTCCTGTTGAGTTGGGCGATTGCACCGAGGAGCTGGAGCAAGTGGAGAAGTGCATGCTTCCAGAGTGTCGTAAGTGATTCAAATGTCTGCACAACACAGCTCTGCCGGCTAAAGAAGCAGTGGGCGTGAATGTGCCTGTAAAAAGGTGCTAAAATGGGCCATTTCATTTTTGGTTTAGCCTTGAGAATCAATAATTAATGGAGTGTAAAATGAAGTGCAAAAGATCAATGTTGTTAATTGAAAGAATCCACTGAACTGTGTTATACTGTAATATACTGTATTATTTCCTATTCATTGTTTTATTCAAACTGTGCATATATCTATCTAAAAGTGTCACAATATCATCCTTTTTCATCTAGTTTATCTAACAACTCAACCCTGTGTGTGTGTGTTAGTTAATCCAAGCCTGAATGTTGGGACACAGCATCTAGAAAAAGGTAAGATGCATAGGTTGAAAAATGACACAGACACAGAGGATTGTGAAGCCTTCATTTCAGTTTCTTACAGAGTTCTTTCAGAAGTTTGTTCCAAAGCTTTTTCAGGCCGAATGAAAACCGAGCAAGCATTATATACAACAGTTTACATCACGTTGAAAGAGCCAACCCCAGCATTCAAATCTAAACCACAGAAGGCCGGATTCCACAAATACTTTTATGTTATTTTTTCAGCGATTGACTGCATCATGTCCGATTGGAGCGAGTGGTCAGAGTGCAACAAATCCTGCGGAAAAGGCCACACCATCAGGACTCGCATGGTGATCATGGAGCCACAGTTTGGGGGAAACGCCTGCACTGAAATCATCCAGAGAAAGAAGTGTAAGGTCCGCAAGTGCACCCGCGGACAGGCCAACAGCGACGAGAGGAAGAGGCGAAGAGAACAGCGAGAGAAGAGGAGGAGCAAACTAGGGCGCTCTGAAGGGGCAGCTGAACACCCAGGTCAGTTTCAGGAATTTCCACAATAGAACTCTGACAATTTCAATCCACGATAAATCACAAATTTACCGTGGATTGAAATGGACAAAATGAAGTGCTGACATCACCCATAGCGTTTGGATGAACCCAGAAGCCCATGTGAGTTTCTCTCATAGCAACAAAAGAGCCAATGAGAATCAAGACTAGACCATTCCGATTTTGCTCTTAGGCAGACATGGCCAAATTCAGGGATACAAACAAGCCCCGGTCATCCAATATGGCACCCTATTCAAATGAATGGCTTTTGCTCAGTAGCGCATGGGACTTCACGGAGACCGGGAGATTAGCTCGTCTATATTTGGGCATCGTCTGGCTCCCATGATGCGTTGCGTCAAATACGTGTGTGTGGCTCTAATGCACGTGCACAGAGGGGCTCGGCTGCGCTTGGACCAATCAGAGCTGCAGATCAGAGCAGCGGTAGAGCGGAGTCAGAGCGGGAAGGAAACTAGCAGAGTTTGTGGCAGTAAAGTGTGGATTTAAAGAAAACCGAAGGATTTAAGAAGAAAAAAAGTTCAGGATGACAAGGGACACAAAAATCCTCAAAAAAATCTGATATTTCTGAAAGCTGTAGGTTCTCTGTCAGCTGAGGTCGAGCTGTTTTAGTTTACATTGAGTTCTATGGGACTTTTTTCTGGGTAGCCCGTGTGAATTTAGTCTGCAGTACCACGGGCGCCCCCTGTGACCATGGGTGGGACAGCTATAAGCTAGTAATACCCTATCCAGAGATTATTATAGATCCATGGATACAAGGGACTTGACTGTTTTTTTTTAGCCCAAAACAATAATTTTGATTCACGATATAAAACTACCTAAATCAAACATTTAACATGAAAAAGCAAACTAACTTTTGATGAACATGCAGGTACAGTAGACCCTACAACCCAGACAATAACAAACATGTTTTTACTTTTATTAAAGTAAATGCTTAACATTTACTTTAATATCTGGATTGATACATTTACCCCAAAGAGGTGTTAATTTTTTGAATGTTAGCACTGTCTCTTTTAATCGCTCGTCTCAAACTCTTCCAATTCAAACTTTAGAATTAACTATTATGCATTTCCTCTGTTTGTCTTATAGGATGCAGAATGAGACCCTGGTCAAGTTGGACAGAATGCACCAAACTTTGTGGGGGAGGTATCCAAGAGCGACTGATGACAGTAAAACCGAAGTTCAAGAGTACTCAGCTGTCCAGTTGCAAGGACAGGAAGGAGATCCGGGCCTGCAATGTGCACCCGTGTTAGAATAAGCACATACTCCACACGGACTCCAGGGGGCGACAGTGCTAAGCAATACTGACACATGCACTCAATACAAGGCTGAGCAGATGTTAGCAAATACATCCAAATATATGTCAATCTGGGTATGATTTAATCAGTGGTATCCAAGTTACTTTTGCGAAAGTCCAAGTAGTGATGGTCACTGTAAATGTAGTCAATACCAGAGTGACAGAAAATGTACCTATAAGTTTGATACAAGATGTAATGAATTCAAATTTTATTCAGCATCATTTATGTAATTTCTAGATTTAATTACATTAATAATTTCAATTTAATAGCGTGTGTGGCCTACTTTTACCTCCAAAAGTACAGGTTGGTGACCACTGTTCCAGAAACATGATGTTGTGCAAACACACTTTGCCCCTGATACAAACAGTTCTACAGATCCACAGCCTTGCTACGTACATCCCAAACCCTGCAGCACAACTGAAGAGCCATTCCAGGACTTTTTATTGAGAACAGAGAACCCGGGCAACTTTTACTCCTGCTCTTTTGTTGTACATGTGCATCACAATTGACACCTTTATCATTTCTAGCATAGGTGCATTTTAATAGACTATAATGTTATGTCCTAAAATTCTTACCAAAGTCTTGTGTAGGTGTTTTCAAGATATCGCCACTTTCTTCTCTGTTACGGTAACATAATAATATTTTGGTATCAACTTTACAATAAAAGTACATGTGAATTTTTTTATTGATTGGTATTCATTTATTTATTTTGGTCAAACATAGCCCACCAGTCAGCCACACAGGCGGTTAGATTACATTTGTCCAGTGTCAGGTTCAGCGTAGTAATTCTCCAAACACCACCCTCTTGTGTCAGATTTTGCCCGGCGATATACAAAAATTGTATTTTAGTCTGATATAGGATTTGCGTTGTTGTTTATAGCCAGATCGCCACTAGATGGAGATACAGTTTAGTCTTTTTTCAGACTGGAACAACAGTATGTCTTTTCTTAGGCCAGTATTTTAAAAATAATATTAATATTAATAATAAGTATTCATCATCAATATCATCATCAACATCATCATCATCATCCTAAATCACATCCAAATCAACATGTTCAACGAGAAAGGTATTTATCAAGCATTATCATAATTTAATCTTTTATATATTTTTGCCTTTTTCCTTAACCTATGAGAATGAATTATAGTTTTAGTGTTGAACTTTTTGGAAGAGATGATTGCCCGAGTGAGCGCCCGTCAGTGTGCGTCAGTGGTCTTCGGTGGGGGAGGGGCAGATTTAACGTGCTACAGGGACTGAAGTGAAACATTCAACTCGTGTTTCCATGCCAACACATGTTGCATGGAAAGTTAATTGTTTTTGAGAACGCAAATGCTGTTAATATTAGAGAAGAAATTTAAGAAGTAAAAGATAACACTCTCGAGTTGTTGTCTGCCTGATACATAATGACTTTCCCCTTTCACCAGGCTTCCATGAATATTAATAAAGCTCAGTCTAATAAATTACAATTGTATCATTAGCACCTGCACATGTAGTTCGATTTCTCAACACATCTAACACATTCACATGTTTGGAAACCATTTATAATTAAAAGCTGGTAAGAACGTTGCCATTAGAATTATTGTTGCTGGCACATATGTTATAGATATACAAGAATACAATTGTAAGTGGAAAAAATAGCCCTAAGTGAAATCCCATGTGAAAGCCATATCCCATCAGACCTCTGTGATGGGAGACCACTGAGAATACCAGGTGCCACAGCGAGGCAGCTGCGGCTGTAAAGTCCCAAACTGCCGTTATGTCGTTAGGCAAGACACTTCACCCACATAGGATAATGTGGTGTGTCTGAATGGTTAGTGGTAATCGGAGTCGGCCAATGGCACATACTGAGTGGCTCACTTCTGTCAGTCTGCCCCAGGGCAGCTGTGGCTACATCAGTGTATCACTCTGTGTAGAGAGAATGACATGTGAAGTTGATTGTCCAAGAAAATGTCATTTAAAACCATATATTATTAATATTATGAAGCAGATGACACCATTTCCTCAGAGTAGAGACCAGTGACTTTGAAAGCCTCCTGTTTTGTTGTGGATCATGAACCTGTTCATGTCTGTTCAACAACGCGACGCACTGTCATCTCTGCTGCTCTGAACACTTTTGACAATATTTGTCACGTGTCTATTTCTGACATTCCTTTGTATTCTTTCTTCTTGTCATTGGGTATTTATTCTTCTTTGTCTAGACACTCATGCATGAAGGCAGGAACATTAAAATGACAAAGAAAGAATTTTAAATGGAAATTACGGCAGAAGAGGTTGATTGATTTGAAAATTGAGATTTTGTCAGATGAGAGAAGCCTAAACATGAATTTCAAAAAAGAGATTTTTAGATTTTGCTTGACATAATGTCTAAATACCTTCATGTGAAAGTGCAGATCAGCAGATTTTCATAAATGCTTTTGTGCCATAGCAACACAACTGCAATAAAAAGTAACCATGTATTATTTTTTAATTTCTAGTTATATGTTGTAGCCCTCCCTGGAAAAGCCTGGAAGTGCCTTGTCATTATGAGGTTCTCGCCGCATGCATAAAAAGAAAACACACATTTCTATTACTTACTCACCTTTGGCGCCTGTGAAGGCTCCTGAGAGCAACAAGGCAATTTTCCTGTCATATTGTCTTTCCGTTGCCATAGAAACAGTTTGTAGGAATTTGCAATGACAGCTAACTAAATTTTACTGTCATTATGCAGCACTAAGTGAAGCTTCAGGAGAAACATAAGTAATAATCAACGGAACTGAGGGTCGAACCTTTGTGGCGTTTGTTGATTTGTTTATTGTTATTAGAATGCAACACGTGACTGAGTGGAAGGAACCTGCCTCGAAAAGGTTGTGGGTTTGATACTCAGACCGGCCTGAGCTTGGGGAGTGGGGGGAAACCAGAGTAAATGAAGGAAGCCAGTCCAGACACAGTGAGAGACGAGGCGAGAATGGGCATTGACAAAGAGCCGCAGAAGCAGGTGTGGCTTATACAAATGCTCCAATCCGATAACAGGCTAAATCTGGGCTCATCACTTAAATCAATTCAAATCTACCTTTATTCTACCAGTCTAGACATAAAAGGCCTTTTCACAAGCACAGTTTGGACGTATCTACGCTCTCCCATTGAGCTGCACCAACCTGAAAAACTGGTGCAACTGCAGAAAAACCCTTTGGATTGGTTTCAGTAGACTATCGCAGCAGCATCCTCACACTTCAAACATGTTGGCAGTGTCCACCACTTGGTTTCTTTCAACACTCTAGAAAAACTCTAGATTTGTGTGGTGCCTAGTTGTTTCATATACTGTATCCATTCTATTCAATTCAGTTCCATTTATTTTTTATATATCTTTTATTCACAACAGCAGCTGTCTGGGAGGAAAACATTTTTGATTCAGGTAAAATATGATATATTATAATGATTTCTTAGGATGTTGCATAATGGCGGCACATAACAGCAAGAAGAGAATCGGAATTTGCCTTAATAATGAGTTTTTGTTCTTGTTAACAAACTGATACCAATCCATTTAACAGCCAAATGCAGTTCCTCTCAGACCTTGTCACAGTCTCTGCAGTAGAATGTTATGGTCTAGTGTGTTATGCAGCTCTCTGACACTAGTCCTTTATCAGCAGCCAGAAGTAAGTCAATTGTGAACTTTAACTCATGCTGTTTTCTAGCTATGTTGAGCTCTGAATCTGGCTTTACATTTGTTGATTATATTATTGTCCTGTATGTGGCATAGCTGTTTAGCAAAACACTTTTCAAAGATTTAAGATATCATGAGAACATTTTAAATTGGTCTGTATTTGGGATCAAGATTGAGGTTTTTCAGAAGAGGGTTGATTACTGTGAATTTCTAAGGTTTGTCAGACAGTGGCCACTTTCTGTAGAAGTATATGTTATTTTAATACTAAGGAGAGTGTCTTTGAACTACTTTCGATGGAATTGGGTATGACCTGCATGTGAGGGCCAGATCCCGTCAGACCATAATGCTTGGCAGGGCAGGGCCTGGTTAGTAAGGTGATAGGAGACCTCTGAGAACACCGGGTGCCACAGTGGGACAGCCGCGCATGTAAAGTACGAAACTGCCTTGTCCTTAGGCAAGACACTTCACCCACATTGCCTATAATGAGTGTGGTGTGTGTGTGTGTGTGTGTGTGTGTGTGTGTGAATGGTTGGTGGTGGCCAGAAGGGCCGATGGCACATAATGGTGGCCTCACTTCTGTTAGTGTGCCTCAGGGCAGCCTTGGCTACAATATCAGTTTATGACCATCGTGTATGGAGTGAAAGAATAATGACATATGAAGTGTACTTGAGTGTCCTGAAAAGCGCTATATGAAACCAATGCAATATTATTCTTCTTATTATTATTACAACACAAATTGAACACCATCACTGAGATCACTTGGGTCAACCCTAACCCTAACCCAGCCCAACCGGAGAGTCTTAGACATTACTTTTACTGCTTGAGCTTGTTCATAACAGTTTCTCCAGAATGTCCATTGGCCTCTTCTCCACATCTCTAACCTGTGCCGACCTGATTCGAACGGTCAGTTTGGGCAGACACAGATATACTCAATGTCCTTTCTCGGATGATGGATTAGACAGTGCTTCGTGAGCTGTCCAAAGCTTCATACATCTTTTTACAACCTACCACGCTTTAAACCTTTCCATTACTTCATGCCTGACCTGTTTGATGTGTTTTTGGACTTCATGATACTGGAACAGTACAGCTGGAAGTATACTGAAGTATACTGACATTAGATAACTTTCAGGGGGACTCTACCTAATAGTTAACATTTGATCATTAAATCAATGAATCAATAAATATAATATATAGGTAACACTTTATAATAATGGTACATGAGTTCATGCATGATTTTATGAACTAATACATGAATAAATGCATGATTACTTGATACATTCATGCATTACTGGATCATGAATTCTCAGGAACTAACAT